CCTTGGTCCAAGCCTCAATGATATTCCCCTGGACTAATTCTTCTCTGCCTCCCTTTACTCTATTGCCAAGTTAGCAGCCAGAGTTATTTTTTAAAACATGTCAGATCACATCACTCCTCTGCTCAAAACCTTTTCAATGGTTCACCATAGCGAAAGCGAATATTTAATTTTTGGCTACAACGTAGGGCCGAAGAAGATCTGCCCCTACCCCACTTACCCGTCACTTCATATCCTACGCTCCTCTTCCTCTCTCCCCAGTCAACTCCAATAACTTCATTCCAGCCACAATGGCCTCCATGTCATTCCCAAATATACACTCCTTCCTCAGACATTTGCAAAAACTGATCCCTTTGTCTGGAACACTCTTCCCCTAGATACCCTCATGGCTAATTCCTCTCTTTCAAATTTTTGCTCAAATGTCATCTTGCCTATAAAACTACTCTGACCACTCTACTTAAAACCAGCCTATCCTTCCTTTTACCCTGCTCTTTCTTTTTCCCATAAGCACTTCTCACCTAACAATCCATATCATTTGCTTATGTTTGATGTTTAATGTTTCTTCCACACAACAGCAGGGTTACTTATTATCTGTGTTGCCCACTCATGTATTCCAAATGCCTATAAAGTGCACCTGGCAAATAGTACACACTTATATTTGTGGAACAGTTTTATATATTTGGTGGGTTTATCTAATTAATGGCATCTGATTCACTACCTAGGAATTGGAACTGGGTTTGGTTCTGTTGGTTATTGAACTTTCTAGAGCCTAGCATGGGGCTAGTCATAGACTAGACACGGAAACATTTGTTAATTGAAGAATATCGCCCTGGCTGATGTGGCTCAGTGGACTGAGCACGAGCCTGCAAACCAAAGGATCGCAGTTCGATTCCCAGTCAGGGCACATGCCTGGGTTGCAGGCCAGTTCCTGGCAGGGGACGCACTAGAAGCAACCATACATTGATGTTTCTCTCCCTCTCTCCTTCCTTTCCCCTCTGAAGATAAATAAATAAAATCCTTAAAAAAAAGAATATCATTTTTTAACCCATCATAAGATACAAATTCAAAACAACTAACATTATCCAGAGCTTGTAAGAATGTAGAAGAAATCCATCCTTTCATGTACTACTGGAGGTATGTAAATTGATACTTCTTTTGTGAGTAAACTAGCAATAGCCATTACAATTTAAACCACTCAAAGCTTGTGCCCTTTAAATTCAGTATTCTTACAGAAGAGTACCTGAAAAGTATGTAAAAGTATATCAATTTCAGCACTGCTTATAAAATAATGGGAAAAAATCTACAGTAATCTACTTGTCCATCAACAGAGAAACAGGTACATGAACTATGCATGGTACATGCATGTGATGAAATACTCTGTAACAAGAATGAGATAGATATGTAACAGTGACCTGAAAAGTAATCCATTCTCTAGTAAATAGACCAGAGGGCCCAAACATCAATTGATCTGGATTTGAATCCTGGCTCCCTCCTCTTCCTAGCTACATAACTCCAGGCACTTTTAACTTTTCTGGGCTTCAGTTTCATCATCAATAAAATAGGAACCACAATAATATCACAATAGTACCCACCTTACTAACACAAAGATTTCCTGAAATAATGCATGCAGTGCTTATAGCACATTACCTGGCCATATAACCATTACAAGTATATAATAATTATAGCTAACATTGTTTTTTAGCTAATATTTATGAAGTAAAATAGACAAGTTGCAGACCCATGTATATAAACCAATTTTCAACCAGTGTGCAGCAAAAGAATTTTAAAACATGCAATATCTGTCTATTTAGTCAGAGGCACTGACCTCCTTTCCCTTTGGTTGTCAAAGAAAAAAACTGCATCAGCCAACACAACAATAGTTGTCCAGCATGAATGAACCAACATTGTACCTTTTTTTCCATGTTGACAAAAAATGTGTTTTTTGGTGTGCTGCAGAATTTTAGTAGTAAGTTAATGTGTGCCATGAGATGAAAATCGCTGATGTAAACCATGCCCATTTCAGGACAGAGGGAAAAAGTAGAATGTCTGTGTAACTACAGAAAAAGTCAAGAAGAACTGAAAACTTAATAGTGGTACCTTGGGAAATAGAAGACACACTTAAGATATATTTTAGAACATAATGTCTTTAAATAAAAAAGAAAAGAAAATTAGACCAAATGCTTTAGGTTTTAAAATATAAAAATTTGGAGATTTTTAACATTATATATATAATCATTGAATTCTCAAGGTAAAATGGGATAATCAACTGAAATCTGTTTAACTACTGAAATTACCTTTTCTTTTTTTTATTTATCCTCACCCAAGAACATGCTCATTAATAGCTAAACAAATTTTAACCAATTATTCCATTTTACCTTGATAATTCAACAAATATATAATATGTAATGTTAAAAATCTTCAAATTTTTATATTTTAAAGTGTAAGTTAAACTATATTTTAGAACCTTTGGTCTAGTTTTACTTTATCTTTTTATTCTAAATGAGAAAAGAAAGATGCTTCATCAAAAAAAGAACAAAACTTTTTGAAAACTTTACAAAATAAAAAATCAAGGAGAATAAAATTATTACACTTCATCCTGTCAATTTCACACAAATTGATTCTTTTCTTAACCTACCACATCTCCATAGAAACAGACATGCCAAAAAAAAAAGTCAAGTCTGGGGGGATAGGTAAAAAGGGGGAAGGGATTAAAATATACAAACTGCCAGATATAAAAACTGCCACACAGTCACAGGAATATAAAGTATAGCACAGGAAGGACAGTTGGTAATATTGTAGCAACTATGCATGGTGTCACATGAGCACTAGACTTATCAGGGTGATCACTTTGTAAGTTATATAAATGTCTCATCACTATGTTGTATACCTGGAACTAATATAATACTGTATGTCAACTATAACTGAAAATCTTTCAATAATCTTAATATAAAAGATAACTGCTTTTAAAATAAAAGCAAAACTAAGCAGTTACTTTCACTGTCAGTTTGACTAAAAGAATTCTACAATTTTTTTAAATCAGCAGGCTAGGCTAGTATTTAAAGGTAATATTAAGAAGTGACCTATATTAAGTTCAGCTAAAAAAAAAAAGTCAAATCCCCAACATGAACGTCTGAGAAGACACTGACACAAAGTGCTCATACCATATTCTCTATCCTTTTGTAAACAGTAGCTGTAGCTGCTCTTTTGCTACACTAATTGAAAATAAATACTGTAATCTATGCAAACTAAATCTCATCCTATAGTCACAAGATTTGAAAGACAGGGAACAAACCTGTACTAATAGTAAGATACAAGATTTCCTAAAGCGAATTTTCCTAGCCTTTTCAAATGCTTAGTCACTTCTGCCTATTTACAATGAAGACCATTTCACATCCTGAAAGAGGCAGGGAATTTTGATTCCAGACTCTCATGTCACCTGAGCCAGCCTAGAGTTTGTTTCCATGCAACTCAAGAGATAGCAGCAACCAGCTAAGCATGCCTACCACTCCAGATCAGAACGAGAAGTCACTGGAGCTCCCTGTATTCTACCTCTGTCTGAAGTAACAAAGAGGGGTTTGTGGAAAATGCAGTTTTCTTCCCTGACACTGAATGCAAAAGGTGAGAATTAAAATGTAGCCTGAAAACATGCCAGTTTCCGCTCTCTGAAAGCCAAAAAGAAATGCCTCCGTTCTTTTCCACTGAAAGTAAAACAGCAGGCAGTACCCTCACCTGTGGGGACTGGACATCTCTCCTGAGTCAACTAACAAAACCTAAAACTACAGGCTAACGGGCTTTGAAGCCCACTTCTAAGAAAGTAGCCTGTAAAATCTGGTAACATTGTTTCAGGTTCCCCCAAAGCAAGAACAAACACTAAGGTTTTCATAAAAAGTTATTTTAAGAGACAAACGTAGGCCAAGTCACGTTTTAAGTGCCTACTATGTGCCCAGCACTATAACCCAGCATTTCACGCACACTAAAAGAAACTTTGCATACACGATTATGGAAATACACCTAAAAGAACTTTCTCAACCAGAGAGAGTAAGACCTTGCCAAAGATCAAGTACATTCTTTCCAAACATAACTCTTCCAGGTAGTAAAAACCTGGAAGGATGTGGTCAATCGCTGAAGTTCCCCAGGTCATGAAGGACTCTGACAACCAACTAAGATTATTTAAAGGATGGTAGTTCTTTTCCTTAAAAAAAAAAAAAATGTAAGTGCTATAAAAGACACGTTTCCCCCACTTCAGTATTTTCAATCGCTATTCTCAATAACCTCAAAATAATACTAACCACTTTACATACATACATGTTGCAATCTTTATAGATAAAATATAAAGGCATGAATTAACTTTTCACTAAGCTGTAATAAGCTGAAGTTCAAAGAAACTCAGAAATCTGCCCACAACTTTTTAGCGAAGGATACAAGTCCTTCAGACTCCCAAGGCCCCGGCGCTTACCACGAAACCACACAGCCTCTCCAGGAACGCTACTCAATCCTGTTAACTGATCCCAACCAGTTTTGTCACAAAATTGGGTGCAAAACGCACGGATATCACGGACTGGGGCAGGAACAAGGGCACACCACCACTACCTAACCAATGTGTTTTGTTTTGTTTTGTTTTTTTCCTTAACGAATATAACACGCTCCCGGTTTCCATTCCCCCCAGGGGCAGAACCCACGTGCCGGCCCCACGGCCATCCCACGGCAGCTCCCGTTCCACGCTCCCCAGCTCCTGCCAGGTCCCCAGCAGCCTCCCCACACCCCTCCCGCCGCTTTCCGCTATCGCTGCCGCCGGCGCCTCCCGCCCCCTCCCCAGAGACTGCCGCCCAGGCCCCCGTGCCGCCCGCGCGCGCAGCCGGCGCCGGAACCCGCGCGCTCCCGCCTCAGCCCGACAGGGTCACCCCCGGGGCCTGCGCGCACCCTCCCCACTGCCCGAAGGTTCCACCAAGACACCGGCGCCGGGCAGGCCGCGCCCGCCCCGCCTGCCATGGTGGGCGCCTCACCGTCAGGCTGAGAAGCCGGGCCCGACTGCGCCATGGCCAGGCGGCGGGCCTCGGGGAGGGGATGGGCGGGGAAGTGGCGTCCCGAGCTCCGGCGGACTCAGCTGGCGGAGACAGCGTCGACCCAGCCGCGGCCGCCGCCGCCCAGAGAGGAACCGCTAAGGCTGGAGCCGCCGGCGCCGCCACAGCCGCGGGCAGAGACGGACCCGAGCGCCGACCTCCGCCTCCTCATCCTGACAGCGGGAAATAAGCGGTGCGCAGGCGCGGGGGATGGGGCGGCACGTGACGTCGCCCTAGGGGAAGGGCGGGGCTTCGCGAAGGGACTTGGAACGCAGCGCAGCGGTAGGGAGGCTCGGGCTCGACTCTGCGGGCTGCGAGAATGGCAGACCGGGCTGGGAAGGGGAGGAGAGCGAGGGGTAGAGGGTAGTCCAAGAGAGAAACCGCAGCGCAAAACGCAGTTTAGAGCAGCCGCTTTCAGGGCTCCGCCTCAGAACAGAGGCAAAGAAAAAAATCATAAAAAGAAGGCCGGATAGTGAAGTGAGTGCACATCCAGCCTCTAGCTTTTCTGTGTGACCTTGGGAGTGTCACTTAAACCGCTTTGAGCCTCACAGCCTTCATTTGCATAATGGCTAAGAAGAGTTTAAATGAGGTAAAACGTGAGGAACTGTTACAGACTTACTTTCCACAGTGCACCTATGCACGATGTGACTTGGAAGTTAGGCACCGAGGTAAATGCAGATACGGCCCCTGCAATAGAGACTAGAGGTGATATGCAGACAGTACTACCTTTACATCGGTACACTAACCTGGGAGCCTGACTGCCTTAGGCCCCTAGTTTAGAGACTCCCCTGGCCACACCTCCCACTGGATGAGCCGACAAGTTCCAGGGGACAGGCCCACCTGGGATTGTGCCCCTCCTTCAGAACCGAGTTCTGGGAATCGCAGGCCCCAGAAGTCCCTCCACAAATGGCTGGATGCCGTGGCCTCTTCCCCAGGTCCGTTCTCTCTAGGGCAGAGTCAAGGCATCCCTAAAAGTGGCTAAGGGGCATCTGTGTTTTGGGGTAGGTATCACCGCACTTGGACATTTGAGCTGCTGTGTTTACAGGTCCCTAGTGCAGGACAGAGGTGGGAAGACAGGTGGGCTATGGGTCAACAGTGGGGCCGGGGCCTGCATGCTCCTGGCCACCTCATTCAAGAGCATAAATCTGAGGAGTCCAGGAATTCTAAATTTGAACCAGCTCTTCTGCGTCATTAAAGATGTACACTCATCAAAGTAGAATACAACACATTAAGGTTAACAGTTAGTTGAAGTGATTTATAATTTTAAATAATTTAGGTAGACATGTGACATCTATTCGTACTTTTGCCCTAAATCTTACAAACATTATGGGAGGGCCTATGTACAGACTCCAGTGTTTTGTGCTGTTTATATCTTCAGATGGCTAGTGCGCCTCTGACAGAGCAAACAGGGTCATTGCCCCCACACCCTTCTCTCCATAAATGACTTTCCTGAGTGAACAAATCTGTGCTTAGCAGGGAGACCTTTGTCCAGGATAGGGCAGCCTAATGCAGCCTCTGTTTTATGATGACTAACACGAGGCAGGGGCCATAAAGATAGTAGTTGTGAATGACCTTAACAGAAGGGGCTCCTTCCAGTAAGTAAGAGGCACATTTATTGCCATTGGTAATCTGGGACTGGAAGCCAGACCCTCAAGATCATCACTCAGAAATTGTCAGGCTGCGGGTTTGGATACTTTGAGCTCCCCATGCCAAGAAGGTGGTTGAAAAACAATTTTCAAATCAGATAGGAGATACACGAGTTATGTACACTTTGATATCTTCAGGTTAAATCCCCAAGCCCAGCAATTCCACCCTTAGGTATACATTAGAGGAGCCTTGGCTGGTGTGGCTCAGTGAATTGAGTGCCAGCCTGCAAATCAAAGGGCCACCAGTTCAGTTCCCAGGCAGGGCACATACCTGGATTGTAGGCCAGGTCCCTGCTGTGGGGCGGCATGAGAGGCAACCACACATTGATGTTTCTGTCCCTCTCTTCCTCCCTTCCTTCCCCTCTCTCTAAAACTAAATAAATAAAATATTTTTATTAAAAAAGCTAATGTGTGCTCCAAGCTTTTATTAAGTGTAAAAGAGGTGATTTTTATGTTATAAAGGAAATTGGCAATAAGATTTAAACACATAAAATAATTATTCACCAATTACATTGTACATATGCACCAGGAGACACATACAAGGATATTCATAGTGGCATAATACAATAAATATACAGAAGTAACCCAAATCTTCATCAACAGTAGAATGGATAAATTTTTAAATACTTATACAGTGGAATACACAGCAATGAAAATAAACAAACCACAGCTACATATTCAACATAGATGAATCTCACAATTTTGAGAGTAAGAAATAAATTATAAAATACAGCACAATTCTATTTGCATAAAGCTCCAAAACAGGCAAAACTAAACATTATGCGTACGTAGTTGGTAAACTGCACAGATAGGAAGAGAACCAGTATTGCAGAAGTCTTGACCGTGGTTCCTGGATCAGGAAGGGAGAGGCACACAGTTAAGGAGAGTATGTGAAAGCCTGCCTTCTAGGGTATTGGCAAAGTGGTAGTTCTTAAACTGATTATGAATCTGGGAAGCACAAATTTTAATGTAGTTTAGGTGACAAATATTTTGGAGTATTTGCTGGTTACAAGCTTAAAATGAGCAACTTCAAAGCAACTGCTAGAAAGCACTCGTTTTGTGCTTCACTAACAGTCGCAGAGTTGTACACTACAGGAGTTGATACCTCTCTTGCACTTTGCCCTGATCAGGTTGCATCAGCTGCGGCATTGGTGTTCTCTCTCTGTCTCTCTCTGTCTCTCTCTGTCTCTCTCTCTCTCTCTCTCTGTCTCTCTCTCTCTCTCTCTCTCTCTCTCTCTCTCTCTCTCTCTCTCTCTCTCTCTCTCTCTGGAACCCAGATTCTCAAGGGCAGGAAGGGACCAGGGAGTAGGGTCAGGGCATCATACTTTTTCTGACTTTCAGTAAGGGACAGCTTCATGGCAGGCTATAGGGAAGGACATGAATCGGGGGACTCTCCCCCAGGGCCAGTCTGCTTGCAGGCACAGGGAGACTTGGAAAGTCCCAATCTGGGTGCTGGCTTCCTTGCTACAGATTCCCGGGAAGAGCCCATGGGACAGACACCGTTATGTCTTCAGCCATAATCCTCCAAGTAGGTCCCTCTTGCTCCAATTTTCCCCTGGTCCATTTGGCCCTGAGCAGCTTATCTTCCCTTCCTGAAACTTGGAATGGGAAGACAGTGATTGGAAATCATGCTCAAAACCATCCTCGCCCCATCTTCCTCTTTAGTGAGAAGTATGTAGTAGAATGCACCAAACTGACAGATGACTTCTCTCTCATACTCTCAACAGGTGCAGACCGATGTCCAAGGACCCACTCCAGACTGACTCAGAACACATTTTTAACCTGTTTGAGCCTCTGTTTACTTATCTCTAAAACGGGGATAATAGATTAACCTCGTGGCACATCAGGAGCACTAAAGCAATAAAGTACCTATCCCCTAACACACAGTAGTTGCTTTATAAATGTTTGCTTCCTTCTCTCCTTCTTTCCTTTCCTTCCTTTTTTCTAGATAAGGAGTTTCCACCCTGAGGAAGAAGGATACCTGCACGTCAGTCTGTGAAAGTATTCCTAGAGATCCAGGGCAGAAATGTCTAATATTCCCAAAGCCTAACTGAACTGTCCCATTTACACTAGATAAGGTCCCTGAACTAAAAGGTAGGTTTCTTTGCTTTGTACAGAATTTATATCACATTGCTTATCTCATGCTGATTAGAAGTTCTTATTCCAGCTCTGCATTAGCTGTTGATTAATAAAACAAAGAGGATCCATTATTACTTAATATATGTAGTTTGCTAGATAGACAAGCATCTTTGCATCTGGTGGGTGCTTTCTTCTCTGGAAATTTTCCTTTTATATAACATCAACCACACAGTGGCATAACTGCCTGGAAATAAAAATTACTGTGTATTTAATAGTGTATACCATGTGTCAGACACTGGACACTGTATTTTACCAGTGTATTGATTTGTTTAATCCTCTTAAGAACCTCATAATGGGGATATTATAGGAGGGGGAAACTGTTGTCAACCCATTTTATAGAAGATGTGACCAAAGAGGTTAAATAATTCTTCCAAGATCACAGAGCTAATAAGTGATAGAGATGGGAGTCACACCCAGATGATCTGGGTCCAATGTCCCTATGAGTAACTTCCAGTCTGCATTTATTGGCAACTAGCTATGTGTCTCTTCCATTGAGGAAAGATGTCAACTCCCAGGAAACAAACAGACAGTCATTTATTTCTAATGTCATATGTCTGGTGCCTAACATGAGATGCTCAATAAATACTTGTTGAATAAATAAATGAATGGGTGGATGAACAAATGAATAACACTACAAATACATGGAGCAAATAATAAGGAATCTTCAGTGTTTATAAGATCTATAGTCTGCAGCTTAAATCTGTGTGATTAAATTCTATTTCGTCATCATTCATCTGACTTTCACTTCTTTTTTTAAAAGATTTTATGTATTTATTTTTAGAGAGCGGGGAAAAGAGGGAGAAAGAGAGGGAAAGAAACATCAATGTGTGAGAGGAACATTGATTGGCTGCCTCTCACATGCCCCTAAACCAGGCATGTGCCCTGACTGGGAACAGAACCAGCAATCAATCCACTAAGTGACACCAGGCAGGCCCTGCCTTTCACTCTCATTGGATTACAGACCATAATTGTAACCATTACCACTGTCGACACCCACCATTTATCCAATCACCTACTATAATGCTAGAGATTTTACCTATATTACCTTCTCTATCCTCATCACAACCTTTTGAAGTGAAGTAGGTTCCATTTATTTTCCCAGAGCTCAAAGAGGTTAAATGACTTGCCTAAGTCACACAGTGAATGGAAGAACCAGAATTCAAATCCAACTTTGACTCCGAAGTTCATGCTACTTTGCTGGCAGTGCTAGCTAACCATGTCTACCAGATATCAGCAAATATC